CTGTTACACTCATTTTAATTCCCTAGAAATATAAGGAAACGTTAGAGATTAGTAGTGGGGGCAGGTTTTTGCAAATTTTTTTTCGGAATCTTCCTAAAACCCCTTAATAGTAATATTGATTACTTTTCTGACCTTGTCTGACAATTTCTTATGAACTACACCAAGTGTATCCCAGAAAACAATGAAGATCGCCCTGTATTTGGACTTGCTCATCCTCGCCTTTTTGGCTACCTGAGAGTTTAGAGCTTCCTCTACATATGGATTGCCGCTTAGTTTCAAGGTCATATCGGAAAAATCCATGTTTAATTTAATTTTATCTATCTTATAATAACAACTCCGAAATGCATATAAAAAGAAATGTCTAGGAATTGATGGAAACAGATTGAAATACGAGAAAAAAAAATACTACACAAAAGAAAAAATAAACCGAAAACAGATATATGAACATCTAGATAATAGAATAATTCCAGTAGTAATGTTTGGTGCAAAAGTAAGTAGTAGTCAAAGGTATGCTTGATGTGCATAAACGCACAATTGATAAGACTATATGGAACTGCAGTGATAAGAGATAACGGATTCGATACTATAGCAAGTTAAATGAGTAATAGCAGAGCGAAGATACATAACAAATAAGACAAAAATAGATGAAAATAAAAAGCACGGGAAATAATAATTGAGGTGAATAGTATAAAATATATTTTGCACTATTTTTTCCAACAAATAGATCTATTTACTAAATCTTAATTGTAATTGAAATCTATTGGAAAATCTTTAAGATTATATGCAAATATATATAGTTTATGTCAAAATTGGGCTAGTATGAGCATTATAATTTATGCTTACCAATTCACCTGAAGAATTTTGTCGACACACCAGCTGATCTAAGCAACCGTGGATGTGGAGGTACTTACAAGATTTATGTTACTAATAAATGATGATTAAAATATGTACGAATAAAATATCGCGATATTATATGTTACGAACTTTTCGTATTTCAGTATGACCGAGCAAATACTAATATTTTACCCAATTTAACGATTTAACTTCCCGACAATCAACAGTAAACTAACAAATTTTAAGAATTCGAAAGCAAGTGATTCATTAGACGAACATGTGCACTTTTTACTTATCGTGTACAAAGTACTGACTCATTTACTTTTACATTTGATTTTAAACTCTCATCCACATATAGGCCAGTAAATGAAAAAAAGCTGGGTTCTAAAATGTACAGGGTGCTGCAGATAAACGGCCAATTAGATATATCTCGAGAAATAAAGGTAACTGAATCATGAAAATTGGAATGAAGGTAGTTTTGAAGAGTGACCGATTTAATAAAGACATTTTCATCTATTGGCTATTTTCGGTTGTACAGGAAGTTGCTTAAAACTTTGTTTTTTTTAATGGGACACCCTGTATATTTTTAATTATAGATATATTCACATTATTCTTAACAATTTTTGTTAATACTTTGCTAAAACTTAATAACCACGTCCAGTAAAGTTGCCTCTTTCATTATACAGAGTGCTGTCAAAATTTGCTTAAAACCGGCATCCTAAATTTTCGCCTATTTTTTTTTCATATGGGTCACCTTCATGTGATTCATTATTTTAGAAAAATACATTTTTTAATATCGACCTGTATTAAATATCACGTTATTGTTAATGTTTAATAGTAACCTTGTTATATCCCATTGGGCGACAGTTATAAAAGTAAGTTGCTTAATACATTTTGTTTTCTTAATGTTCAGTGAAATTCCATATCTCTGACTTACTTCTGTGATTCTATTTATTAACACCTGGAGGGCTTAATAACTGTCAGCGAATACCACCATATCATTCGCGTATCTGAAGTTGATGATACATTCTCCGTTAATTCAAATTCCGACTTCCACATCCTCTACTGCTTCTTGAAAGATTTCCTCAGCGTATATGTTTCACAACGGGTGATAGTATACATCCCTGTCGCACCCCACGTTTGATTTTGATATCGTCGGATTCTCTTGCGTCTGTACGTATATAAGGTGTTTGATTCCAGTAAAGATTGCTAATAATTCTTGGATCACAGGCGTTTATAAAAATATTTATTAATATCTCCATCAGCTTGTCTTGTTTTACTGTATCGAGCGCTTTATGATAATCAATGAAGCAAGTATAAATATCGCAATTCACATCTCTACATCTCGTTAAAATAGCACTTGTAGAGAGACTCTCGTACCCACTGCGTTCCGAAAAAAAACTGTGCACTGATTTTTTTTCGCATAGTCTTATATCCTTTGATATATGATTTTTAGAAATAACTTTAAAATGTGTCTCATTAAGTTGATGTCCCGGAAATCATTGCAGGGTACGGATTTTGTTTTCTGTGATAGAATATCTAAGATAGAAATCAATAAACGTTGAACTTTAGCCACGATCTTGGTATTACTCCTTTTAAATATATGTTAATAAATATTTTTGTTAGTCGTTGAGTACCATCGGTGTTAAATTAAATAACTTTATGAGTTTAACATATTCAGTGTCAGGTCCAGGAGCTTTGTCATCTTTTAGTTGTGATATTGCTTTTTCCTTTTCATCTGATGTGATTGGTAAGTGGTCATTACATATATGTATAACGGAGGTTGTTCGGACCTATTATCATCAAATAGTTCTTGTATGTATTTAGTCCATATGTATATTTCTTGATTATCTGTGATGATGTTCCTCTGTTGATCTTGTTGGATTTTTGAAGACCAGCTGCTTGTTTAACTTTTCATGTATATTAAATGTATCGTCTTTTTGTTTCAACAACTCCATCTCTTTATACTGTGTTTTAACCTATTTTCTTTGGCCTTTCGTATTTGGGTTCTTATTTGTCTCTGAATATTTTTGTACATTCTTTTGTTATTCTTTGATTTTCTTTTTTCTTCTATGAGTTGTAGTATATTGTCATTCATTCAACTTTTCCCTCTTCTCTTTATTTTCTATTAGATGTCCTGCTCTGATCTTGTTAAAGGTTTTAAAGTGATTCTTCTGGATCATATGTTTGCTCCATGTTACTTAGCTTTTTTGAAAGAATCCGTGCGACTGTCTCTTTTGTTTCCTTATATTTTTGTCATAGTCCTCATATCACATTTTTTGTCACTATTCTTTTTTGCAACCTTTTTTAAATCGTAAACCTAAATTTACCAATAACAGGAATATGATCTGCCGGTCCGTCAGCACCGGGGTAACTTCTAACTGATAGGCATCCATTACGGAATCTCTTGTTCATCATTATGTAATCAATTTGATTCCTTGCAAAGTATGAAAACATGTACTTCATGAACCTGAAATACGCATACCTGAAAAAATCTTAAAAACATTAACTATTTTAATTTCATACTGAATTCAAAAATATAAAGTATTAAAAACTACTGCTAAAAGGAAAACAATAAATTCACAACAATTTTACTACTTCAAAAACTACAGTAGTTTGACTCTGTCTTGCCATGAAAACGCACTGCAGATTTCATAGTTTTGTTCATAGATTTGTAACGAAGTATTTTGCCTACCACATAGGGTATGATTATGGGGGTTGAAAATTGGGGACAGAAGCTACTGGAGGTGGAGATAGGGCAAGCAAAATAATCGATACTTATGCGGCACTCAGGATTTGTTTGGAGAGCTGGGGTCGTGGGTAAGTTGAATGGCAAGGGGTTGGATTGGGGCAACTACAAAAATGAAATAAAGGGGTACTTACATAAATCTCCTTGACAAATGGGTAAACAAAACAACAAGAAGGACCTCTAGCTATTTGAAATAAGGACGCCGCTTCGATTTAGCCTCCTAGATGAAAGAAAAAAGGCTCTAAAAGGCTCCTAAAAACACAAAAGAGAGGTTAGGAGACTTTTCTAAAATAAATAAACAAAACTGGTTTAGGAAATCAATTAAACGTTTATTGTTGCCTCACCACAAATAGTTACTAGATGTCAAAAATAATAAAACTAGCTGTCATATGTCAACATTAAATTTTAAAACAGAACAATTAAAATGACAGCTAACCACACACTAAGATTTTAGAATATTAATTATTACAATTTCTTTTTAAATTATGAAAGCACTTATTGCTTTAAACTGTTTATTTTTACTTTAAGAGTTCAAACAAAAAAGTTACCCGGATTTCACTATAAGGCACTTTAACTTTAAATTTCTGAGGTTGCGAACTGGAATCATACTGGAGATTAACTGCTACACGAACAAAAACTGCATACCACACTGCGAATTGTGTTCTGAAACTGCTTCTTAATTCGGACAGAGCAAATTTGAGGTTGAAATGGGGCCACTCTATACAAACCTTAGACTCGGCTTCTTAAAAAACTGGAACCATCGTGGTTAGTTTTCAAATTTGTTGCAAACGTCGTTCTACAAACATCTCATATGAGACGGCTTACAAACAAAAAAATACAGTGATTACTCGTTCAAAGCTGACACATCACATTGAGTAAAATCACTTTTTCTTCGATAAATTTGCCGGTCCTTCTCTTACTAACCAAATACGTCTACTTCAATCGCCCATTAAACATATCGCAAAACGACCTTGAATCAAACAACTTTTTAAAAATGTAGAACTAAAACGTAAGATATGAATTATTTAACTTCGTAGCCGAATTCTTTCTTTACCTCACAAATAAACAGAGAAACGGAAATATTTATACTCGGGCCAGTGGCGTACTAGAAAATTCTTATTCTTGAATATAAGATAGTTTTTAAGGTATTTTCTGCATGCTATAAATTGAGGTCACTAAATGAGTGAATCAGTTTCATGAAATTTCGTAATATCTATAAAACAGTTAGGGCATACATTACCTTTCTAAAAATGACAGTTTTAATTACTTTACTATGGAGCAATGTTGTGGTTACAATTTTTGTTAAATATCTAAAACTAACGATTTAGAAACCTTGGAAAATGGTCCGAAACAATGTTATTTCACTTTTATTGGTAGTCTGTGTTGCAGTATGTAATGTCTGGTTGTGTCTGTGCAGTTGCGCTGGTTCGGTGGCTACGACGGTCAACACCCACATGGGCGGTCCCATGGAATATCTCGATCAGTTGGACGATTTGAATGGTCTGGTCAACTTTGAAATGATGAGCTACAAACAGTGAAGACGAAGAGTAGAACTGTGAAACTATTTTGTTTGTTTTTAAATGGCCATCCACTTTTTATTGATGTTAAGGTAGGATGTTTTTGTTTTTTATTTTTATTTATTAGGACAGTCCCTGGAGATTTACTTATATAAAAGCGGGTTAATTTTATTTTTTTTAATGTACGAATTTCATTGTACAGAAGGCAGTAAAAATCTGTGATAACTCACAAATACAAACGTGACATGTTTTTTTTTTTTATTTTATTAAGTTATTATTTTGTGCAATACTTTAACATTAATCTAAAAAATGATTGTCCGAATTTCATAATTTCTTACAGTAGTAATTTAAGAAGTTTTTGAATTTGTTTATCCGTTAAAAAGGTAATTTTGTTCTAGCTAATCAAAATAGTAGGCGTTTAGGCTATGACCTAATAGTTTATTGTAATCATCCGAGCTATTTTTTAAGTTTAGGAACGGGAAATAGTCGCTCGGTGCTAAATCTGTGGAATGCCGTGGACGAACGATCAATACGTATACCAATTCGTGTAATTTTGCTTGTGAGTAGGCCTTCTTGTATGGCAAGACCAATATGACGTTTTTTCCCTAAAATCGGTGACGAAACGAGCCAATGAAACTGCTAATGAACCAGTCACGCTCGTAGCGTCTTTTATTTATATTTAACTCAGTTGTCGACAAACATTCTTGAATTTTTTAGATGTGGTAATTTCTGATGCCATATTCTCTATCAATGTACCTCTGAATTCACAAGGACCTTGTAGAGTGTTTCTAGTAAATTGAACGTTGTCGACAACAATTTAATTGGACTATAAATGTTCGGGAGCGTTGGTTTACCCGGCTTTAGTATAACTATTACATTATATTGATTAATTCCTCGTGGAATTCAGCCGGTCTGAATGAGAAAGCAATAAAGAAATATTCTAGCCCGTTTTTTATGTATTTTTGGTACTTAAGTCTTTAAGGATATATTCTCTTGAGATATAGTCGAAAAGTGCTAACGTCTTTAAGGGTATATTCTCTTTTTGAAGCTTTAAATATTCCTTTATCTTTATTTGTGGATACGTGCTCTTGATATTATAGTCCACTGAATTTGGACTTGTTGCAGCTGTTTTTTGTTGAAAGGGTTCTCCATCACCAATTTTGTTTTTATTAGCGTCCATCCTTTCTGACTTCATATTTGATAATTTTGTACTTTTTATTAATTTGTTGTCCATTCTAGCAGAGTCGAAACTTATTCCCATATAAGTGTATTGACAGTGTGTTACTGTTCTACCATTATTAATTGTTAGATCAGTAGGTTCTCTACCGCTACAGAGATATTCTAATCTTTTGAATATTGACCGTAAAATCCCAGATTTTGTAACTCTTCAATGAATTTACTAGTCATGCACTCCATATTCTATTATTTGATATAACTGTTTGGTCGTCCTCAAATTGCAAAGTGTACAAGTAGAGAGGTAGCCACTTAAGGACACTTTGACCTTTGATTCCATTTTTGGTGGAGGTGTGTATTATGTCACTTTTATCGAATATCACGGTTTATGTCAAATGTCACGTTTTACATCACACGTCAATTTATGTCATAAGTTATATTATGTTAAGTTTTATGTCAGATGTCACGTTTTATGTCAAATGTCAGGTTTGATGTCATACCTCACGTATTATGCCACGTTTTATGCCAGATCTCACGTATTATGACATGTTTTAAGTCAAATGTCACGTAATATGTCACACGTCACGTATTATGTCACGTTTAATGTGATATGTCATGTATTATGTAAAGTTTTATATCAGATGTCACGTTTTTTGTCACACGTTACGTATTATATCACAATTTATGTCATGTGTCGTATCATAGGTGACATTAAACTTGACATATGACATAATACGCGACATTCGACATAAAACGTGACACGATACACGTCTCAATTAAAAAATGGCATCTCTAACAAAAAATGGGGTCAAAGTGTCCTGAAGTTGCTACCTATCTACTTTCATGAATTGTTGTCTTATATTGTGAGCTTATAAATTAGGGTTGAACTCTTTTTTTATGTATAGAATATTTACCTCAGACAATACGTATAGTCATTTTAAAGTTTCGTTGAGTGTACATATTTTTGAGCTAGAAATAAATCATTTACTCCACAATATCCGACTTCGAAATATTTCACAACGTCGATCGAGAAGGTCGGTCATACGGCATTAGAATTTTATACACCGACTATATTTGTATCACAATTTATTATGTATTATATCTAAATTTCGCACTCGGACTATCATTTGCTAGTTGTGCTTTAATTAAAAACACACTAAAGTATCATAATAAGAAATAGTGGGAGTAGAACTATTGGCAATACGCAGTCAATCACTAATAAAACATATCAATATTTGGCAATATGCAAAAACGTTGCTTGAAATGATGAAAATTAATGATACATTTTATTGGGAAACGCCTTCTGTAGAATGAAACTCATTTAAAAGAAAAAAAGTATTTTTTATTACTTTTTTGTGTCTCTCGGGACTGAATTATTATGTATAGTATATTGTACATTATGATTTTATCGCAAGGTTTAGATTAACCATTGTTTATATTAAATATGGTTACAGTTTTTTAATTAGATTACCTAGATATTTTATTGCGTTTTTTTTGGACGATTGTGTTTTGTGTTGCAAGGTTTTTCCTTTAATGTGAGTGTATATTATTCCTTTTTATTTTATAAAACTGATGATATTTATATTTTTATAAAACTACTCCTTTTAGTAACATTGTGGCTTTTGCCCCATTATAAATATATTTATGTGTGAACTTATTGATATTGTCACAACCTTGAAGTTCGTGCTTATTTTTAAATGCAAGAAGATTGAATTAAATATATTTTTTATCTAATTTAAATGGCTTTTTACAATACTTTCACCAATTCTGTACATTTTTAAATCTCAATTGCCCCTTTATTTCTCTTGATCGTCCTCTAATTATATCTCTAATCAGAATTATAAATTAAAGTAAATGCTAAATATTTTGACGTTTGTAAATATTTTATTTTTAAAATGCTAAATACACTACGACATATCAATTTTCAATGCTTTCGTTTTTTTTTTCATTAAGAATTATTTTTAAAAGTCAAAACAATTTCCCAACAATTACTACAGTCAACTGCCGTTTACCCGTGGGGTTGATTGGCGCTGGTGACAAATAAAACCAAAAGATAAAAATTTAGTTTCATCTTAATCTCTAATTTACAAATTTCAATGTATACTTCCATTTTTTACTCTTTTTGAAAGTAGTCTGTCACTAGTTTTTGCTTCATTGATTGGAAAAGTGTTTCTTAATTTTACATTGCGCCTTAAAAAACGTCAGATTTTGAGCGGGTAGCACGTCATCCGGGTTCTCTAATTATTCTGAGTAGCATGGCAGCCATTTCCATCTTCTATAATGGCTAGTTCTTCACAATTTTCGATGTTTGATAACAATTCTTTCCATGATTTTACTATTGTTAGAGACTTTACAGACTCCCAGGCAGATGTAATTTCGTAAATACAGTCCAGAATACTGAATGACTTAAATACTGTTGCAATATCATTTTTCAATTCTTGAGCGAAGTAACTTTATTCTGTAGTTTCTTTTATAGACGCATGGCATCTTGTGTTGGTGACAAATATTGCAGACATTTTGCCGTCAGCAAACTTCAGCACGTACTTTTCAAAAAGTGAAGAGGCATTGTCAAATCAACAACACAGCTTTTTGTTGCAAATTGTTTGCTTCTAACTGTTTATTAACTTCTTGAAACCAGTCTTAAAATATTTTTTATCCATCCACTCTTTCTTTTGATTGCAGCAATCAACAGGTAGCTTTTCTGCTCTAGTATCCTTAAAATATCTAAGTCTTTTTGCGTTATCAACGACAACTTCAGTTTGTGACTCAATGTAGGACTGGATCTATGACCCCCGCGCGTACTTCACTTTCACTTACAAAAGCTAACATCAAAGTTGGAAGACACTTCCAGAAGAGCTCCGAATTGTCTTCGTTGTATATTTGTTCGTAGTTCAAAATTATTTGTAGAAAGGAACTCTTCTAATTCACTTTTAAATTCCTCGGCTCCCTGTTGGTCACCACTGAGTTTTTCTCCATGAAGTCCTATCTTGTTCCTTACAAGACGTTATATAAAGCGAGTCAACCACCTAGATGATGCATCAAAATCTCCTTCTAAGCTCAATGCGTCAAAAAACTGTTTTTCTTTGGCAGCAATTATCCACGTAAGATGAGGATTTCATTGTTTTTCTTTTCTTCATGACAGCAGAGCTTTCTGACTTTGACGCAAATGAAAAATATTATTCTTTTGCTGTAAAATGTCTGATACATTTACGGGAAGCACCGTTTTCAATATTACTGTTGAGTTCTAACTTCTCAGTAAGCGTCAACACGAACATCTTTTTCTTTTGTGAGACGTAGTAAAAAAGCAAAAAATGAACTGTAGCTCAGAACACTACCTTATAACACACGATCAATTCAATGAACTGAGAACTAAAGCTGATTCACAACACAAGTACGTTAACAACCCTCTATCACCACTGCAGGCAGTCACAACCAAGGTCTTTGTTTCACCACATAGCAAACAACTTATTCTAACTAACAAATAATGAACTTGCTCATCCAAACTCACGCGTCCTATTTTGTCGAAAGTAGCGGGAATCCCGAGTTACTCATGGATTCTAGGAAATATGAAATTATTCTATTGTTATATATAAAGTGACCAACAAAGAAACATATTTGCTTGCGCGTCTACAGAGACTCTGGCGGACTAACGGGAGTTGATTGTATTTGTTTTTAAGTTTTATTAAGGCGATAACCACTTACTGTGATCGCTAACTTTGTTGTACAGTATGTGTGTGTCATAAATTGACAGTTTTGTCTGCTTTAGAGACAGCAATTCAGATTTATATATCTTCAATCCCAGTCTATAAATCGTATCTATATCTCGAAAAATACTTTTTATTGTGCAATTATAAATATTAAAGTAAAGGAGTAGTTGGTTTTAGATTGTACACAGTTTTATTTGTACATATAACTTAAACAAAACTATTTTAGTTACACATACATTGTTTAGATGGCATCTCGATATTTTATTTTATACAACACAAGCACAATCTCCAAATTGTTCAAAAGTTTGCCATATTATCTTTTGTAATACATTAACGTTTTTGATATTTTGTAATTCTGATTGAAAACAGAGATGGAGAAATTAATTATGTTTAATACATTCTTATAATAAGACTACACAGAGAAAAATTGATTTTTAAATGTGGACGACAATATAATTGATTTAAAACTGTGTTAAAATATACTGTAGCACCCTTTATTTATCTGTGCAATGTTGGAAATGTGCTG